TAATAAACATCAGATTTATTCATTTGGAAATAATTTTTAAAAAAGCTCTACAATTTATGATTGTAGGCAATTGAAAATTGCACACACACAAGAAAAGGGAACCAAGTAGAGAAAAAGGATTTGCTTATCCTCAAACTCTACCAAATTCCTCATCCTCCACCCGCCAGGAAGGACATCTTTATGTGGCTTTTTTTCAAATCACTGCATGGTCTTGGTATTATCATTACTTGGGTGATGCAATTTTATGTTGTACCAAAAATGTATTTTGATCCAACCAATGATCATCTACATTCAACATGTGATGATTCGTCTAATGAATGAAATTTCTAATTTGGATGAGAATGCAATTGACAAATAAGATATATTCTATCAAAATTTGGTTGAAGAAGATCAATTGACAGAACAATTGAACGTTGTTTTGCAAGTGGCTTCTCAAAACACTATCTGGGATATCAGATCTGCAAAATCTGCAATTTATAAGTTCAAAGAACTTTTGTCTGAGTATGTATCATTTCTATTTTATATTATTTTTGTTTCTTGATATGTTCTAAACATTAACAAATTGATCAAATTTTTTAGGGGCCAAAGAGAGAAAAATATTTTATATTATAACATGTTGAAAAAAGTAAATTGAATACAGCAATGTATGTGCTGTATATAATAATGGGCTTAGCAAAATCAGCAGGGAAAGAAGATCCTGTTGAACTTGACTCTAGTCAACATTGGGAAAACACATATTAAGGTAAGTGTGAGGGGGTGATTCAGCACAAATGGTGAAATACCATACACCACCCTTATCATTTTTTAACTGATTGTGGTGGGAAATTAGAATATATGAACCAATCTATCATTGAACCCAAGAATTATTGTATTATCAGATGCATTTTGAAAAAGCAACAAGGTGAGAAATTGCTTCTTATGTTTTTAAAATAAATGATACTTAGACAACTGAAAATTATTTAAAGAAAGATGAAGCTAATCTTGGTGCAAGTTGTGCATGTGTATAATACATTAATATGTCTACTGTATATTTAGCTTAGGCAATTGTAAGCAGTTCAGTGATGTTAAGTGACCCAAATGACTTGGAACAACCATCATTTTGAATCAAATTATTAAAAAAGTTGTCTTTTTTTTTTTTTTGATGTGGATCTAGAGAAATAATAAACTTAATTGAAACTTAATTAAATAACCTAACCAAATATATTTACACAATGCCAAAAACATTCATGTCTTTAAATAAAACAAATAAACGATTAAAAATGATTATTTGATTAAAACAATTAATTCAAATAAAACAAATAGAACAAATAAAATGAATAAAATGAGTGATTTGAATAATTCGAATAAGAATTAGTATTACAAATAGAAAATCTACTTTATTACAGTCAGAGTCAGCAAATCTGGTAGCCAATAATGTTCAAACTAAACTAAAATCACCATATATGACTATACTACTTGAGGCAATCTAATAAAACTAAAAAGGGTTCCTAACTAATAATTAAAGGTTGCCCAACAATTAATCATCAGAAAGGGCTAATGAATCAATCAATCATTAATTGATCACAGTCAAGGGCTATTTTTATGTAAAAGTGTAATTATTTATTTATTTTTATTGATTAAATTTTTTTTTTTCATTGAAGGATAGATATTTGAAGTATTACAAATAACATGACTTTTTACAATAATGGTGATTAAATGATATCTGACAAAATGTTTTGTGGGGCAAGTAGTTATTTGTCAAAGGGGAAAAATAATTAATTAAAAATAATAAATCTGCATTTGATTTGTAAAATGTTGATGATAATTTGTCTTCCTCTTAACTAGGAATTCTAAAGGCCATTTTTCTGCTAAATGTCTGTCTATATTGTCTCAAAAATTTTCAATGCGGAGAAACATCAAGACTTGCAACTCATTTGGCAAATTACTGTATTAGATGTGACATGCATAAATACTTGTCAAAAACATTTCCAGATTGATGACCAAATAGTGAATTAGGACTTAAGAAATTATACTATTAGAGACATGACAGCAAAAAAATCTATACTTAGCAGTGCTAGGAAATCATGTATTGGAGAAGGGATGGCAAAAGATGATGAGTTTGGTTCATTAACTTTTTGGTTTGAGAGTGTTATTAAACAGGATAAAGCTCCGAACGGTTCGGTTTAAACCGAAATTTTCGGTTCGGTTTCAGTTCGGTTCGGTTTCGGTTTTTAAAAAACCAATTCGAAAATTTTCGGTTCGGTTTCGGTTCGGTTTCGGTTTTTAAAAAACCAATTCGAAAATTTTCGGTTCGGTTTCGGTTTGGTTTCGGTTTTTAAATTATTATTGAACACAAAAAAAAAATTTTTTTTTCCGATAATAAATAAAAATATTAATATACAGTATATAATAATCAAAAAAAAATAAAACATAAAAAAATAAATAATAATAATTAATAATTAATTCCTCTCCTTCAATTTTACCGTTAGCTATTGATTTCTTCATGAATGAACTACATAATTCTCTTGATAATAATTCACCTGATAATAGTTCTCCTATTTATAGTTGAAGAGGTAAAGCTCCGAACAGTTTGGTTTCGGTTCGGTTCAGCTAGATCTCCATATTTATATTATGAAAAGTTCACTCTCTCCACAATGAATTTTCACCTTTGTTTGTTATAGAAGATGTTTGTTATACATGCAGAGCTAGTTAAACCGAAGTCAAAAAAAA